GAAGCGGTCCGGGGGGATGGGTCCAGACCGCGGGGGGTCGATGTCATGAAAAATTCATGACGTCGGGGGTCTGGGTTGCCCGTGCAGAGACGGACATCCCAAGGAGCGGATGTCGCGCCCCAGCACACAAGAGCAACTGCTTCGGCCACAAGCGGGACCTCGACCGGGATGGAGGGCAACCCGCAAACCGACTCAGGGGTGCCGAAGTCGGGAGGGATCCCGTACGCCTGCCTCTTCAGCCATCTCCGATGCTCGAGAGAAGCATCGGCATTCCAGGACCTATATCTGGGTCGTCGCTTACAGCCCGAGCTGCGGAGGGTGGCGTCGGTGACGCCCGACACAGAAGCACCGTGGCTACCACAAGGCATGAGCCCCGTCCTGCAGAGCCCCGACACCGTTTTCTTCCCAGCAGCGCGACGCAAAGCTCGGAACCGCTGCTTTCGCAGGTCGAGCTGTTTACGACGTCTCGCCTGCATTATACGAAGCACACGCGTACCGTGCAAGTCATGACCTAGGTTTCGCATGAGCTTCCGATGCTGAACGTCAAGCGAGCGGCCAACCAAAGAAACTTTCGGGGCGACCTCACGGCACAGCTCACGGGCCGCAACAAAGCCCACCCTAGTTTCTCGTTTGTCGGGGCCGTCCCACTGCAGAGATACATCGTCCATCAGCGCGCGGGCGCTGACGGAAACGAGCGAGGATTGGAGGAGGGCAAACAGGTGGAGGAGGAGTAGGAGGAGGAGCAGGAATAGCATGGGAGTGAGGCGAGGTGATGCGCGGCGCTGCAAATTCAAACTGAGGACTCAACTCCAAGGAGAATTTGGGAAACGACGTTATTTGGGGAGAGGAGGAGGAGGAGGAGGAGGAGGAGGAGGAGGAGGAGGAGAAGGTAAGAGCGAGGAGGAGGAGGAGATGGAGGAGGAGGAGGAGGAGAGGAGGAGGAGGAGGAGGAGAGGAGGAGGAGGAGGGGGAGGAGGAGGAGGAGGAGGAGGAGGAGGAGGAGAAGGAGGAGGAGGAGGAGGAGGAGGAGGAGGAGGGGGAGGAGGAGGAAGAGCGAGGAGGAGGAGGAGGGAGAGGAGAGCGAGGAGGAGGAGGAGGAGGAGGAGGAGGAGAGGAGGAGGAGGAGGAGGAGGAGGAGGAGGAGAGTAGGAGGGGGGGGCAAAGATTTCCATGTCCGCTGCCTTCTGGGGTCCTGGGATGCTGGCTCCCCAGGTGTTGGATGTGTAAACTGGCGGCGAGCGCCGGGGGAAGTGAGAAGGAGGAGGCTTTCTCAGGAGGCGGCGTGACTTCTCAGAAAACCCTCGCGCCTTCTGAGAAAAGTTGTCCGTGTCTTCGGGGAGGGCTCAGAGGACTCTTCACAGGGGGCCGGGGGACGTCCGAGCCTCCCGAGAAGGCCGGCCCCTTCAGACTCCCCCCCCCTCGCTCGCCGCCGAATCAAGATTCTGGCATCGGCCCTGGAGTCTCTGGTGGGCTTGTTTGCCACCGCCACCGCCATAAGTAGGAGGGGGAGGGGGTCCTGCTCCTCCTTCTCCTCCTCCCCCTCCTCCTCCTCCTCCTCCTCCTCCTCCTCGTCCTCCTCCTCCTCCTCGTCCTCCTCCTCATCCTCCACCTCCTCCAACTTACACGGTGGTGGTGGTGGTGGAAGACAGGCCCATCAATCTCGCCGCCTCCCCTGGGACACGTCCCCGAGGGCACCCACGGCCCAGGCCTGGCCCCCCTCCGTGCCGTGCACTCGCGTGCCCGCCGCGCGGGGTCGCGCACCTCCCGCCCCGGACTCGCAGGGGGCGCTCTCTCGGACCAGAGCTGCGAGGCGGATCCGGCAGCGTGGCGACGAGGGCGACCCGCGCGCGCGGCCCACCAAGAGCCTGAAGTCTCATAGTCGCACCTCCAACTTTCTCGCCCCTCGAACCTCGGGGCTCCTTTTTCCCCTCCGTGCCCGGCCTGGACCACCATGAGGCCCCTCGGCGGTTCAGGGGTGGGGTCCTGAGGGATGGGGCCCGGAGGATGGGAAGGGATCGAAAGGGTGAATTTACGTTGCTTGAAGACCCCATCCCTCGGGACCCCATCTCTGAACCACCGAGACTCGTCGCAGCAGCTGGGGCGCTCTCTCCTGGGGCGCGCCGTGGCCAGAGCGGGGGGCCAGAGAGCCCCTGGCGGAATCAGCCGCGGCGGCGAGGAGCCCCCCCGGGAGGCCCCGAGCAGAGCCAGAGACAAGATCCCAAGCCTAAAGGGGCCCAAGGACACACTCACAAATGTACACAAATCCCAGGATCGTCCATCTGTTCCCATCGTGTTTGGACTTTCGCCTTCCCCCCACTTCCCATATATGAATTGTTCTGGAGGTTCGACGATGAATTGTGTCTGTGCTTCTTCCCTCCTGAAAGACAAAGCTAGACAAAACAAGATCCCAAACCGTCTGACAGAGCATTCGAGAACTGATGCCCCGCGACCCTGCAAGGACCCCCTCCACAAACGCATCGGACATCCGCGCGAATTTTAGTGGATGGGCGCTGTCTCCTCCTCTCTGGCGCGCGGCGCACACCAGGGGTCGCGCCAGAGGCATCGCCAGGGGATGTCCAGCGCCGACCGAAGAAATCCGCCCAGACATCCCACATGTCGTATGTTTATACTGCACTTGCCCCTCGAAGCACGACCACAAAACATCCAAAGCCTTTCAACAGAACCTCCGACCTTAGCGTTAGGTCGGGACTGTCCCCCTACAGGCCAAGTTTGGACGAACAATTATGCTAACGGAGTTCCCCACATAATGATGTTATTGGGATAGCGGAATCAAGGATCATTTTGTCATGAAATTGCCGACCTGCCCTCGCCCTCTCCATCCTTTTCTATCACATGGTTTGCGAATACCCTCCTTGCTCAGGCTGGGCCTCCCTGGAGGGGTGGGAGGGGCACGAAACCTGATTAATAACACTGTTCGCGAATACTGTCGTCGCTCAGGCGGGGCCTCCCTGGAGGGGTGGGAGGGGCACGAAATCTGCTAAAGAACACTGTTCGCGACTACAGTCCTCGCTCAGGCGGGGCCTCCCTGGACGGGTGGGAGGGGCACGAACCCTGATAAAGAACACTGTTCGCGAATAGCGTCCTCGCTCAGGCGGGGCGGGGCCTCCCTGGAGGGTGGGAGGGGCACGAAACCTGATAAATAACACTGTTTGCGAATATCGCCCTCGCTCAGGCGGGGCCTCCGTGGAGGGTGGGAGGGGCACGAAACCTGATAAATAGCACTGTTTTCGAATAGCGTCCTCGCTCAGGCGGTGCCTCCCTGGAGGGGTGGGAGGGGCACGAAACCTGATAAATAACAATGTTTTCGAATAGCGTCCTCGCTCAGGCGGGGCCTCCCTGGAGGGGTGGGAGGGGCACGAAACCTGATAAATAACACTGTTTTCGAATAGCGTCCTCGCTCAGGCGGGGCCTCCCTGGAGGGGTGGGAGGGGCACGAAACCTGATAAATAACACTGTTTTCGAATAGCGTCCTCGCTCAGGCGGGGCCTCCCTGGAGGGGTGGGAGGGGCACGGAACCTGATAAATAGCACTGCTTTCGAATAGCGTCCTCGCTCAGGCGGGGCCTCCCTGGAGGGGTGGGAGGGGCACGAAACCTGATAAATAACACTGTTTTCGAATAGCGTCCTCGCTCAGGCGGGGCCTCCCTGGAGGGGTGGGAGTGGCACGAAACCTGATAAATAACACTGTTTTCGAATAGCGTCCTCGCTCAGGCGGGGCCTCCCTGGAGGGGTGGGAGGGGCACGAAACCTGATAAATAACACTGTTTTCGAATAGCGTCCTCGCTCAGGCGGGGCCTCCCTGGAGGGGTGGGAGGGGCGCATGGTATTGGTATGGTATTGGTATGGTATTGGTATGGTGGGAGGGAGCTCAGACGAAACCTGATAAATAACAAGTGTTGCACGGTATTGGTATGGTGTTGGTACGGTATGGTATGGCTTGGTATGGTATTGGTATTGTATTGGTATGGTATGGCTTGGTATGGTTTGGTATGGTATTGGTATGGTATTGGTATGGTAGGACTTGGTATGGTATGGTATTGGTATGGTATGGTATTGGTATGGTATGGCTTGGTATGGCTTGGTATGGTATTGGTATGGTATGGTATTGGTATGGTATGGCTTGGTATGGTATGGTGATGTGCGGAATGGTATCGTATGGTATGGTTTAGGAGAAGGACGCGGGAGGAGGAGGAGGAGGAGAAGGAGAGGGTGTTCTGGGAAAACAAGAACCCCACTCAGGATGTGGGGAACAAAAATACCCAAAGAATACCCGAAAATGATCAAAGATAGTCCAGTAGTCGTCCCCAGACTATCTTTTGACTACTCCTCCTGTAGAGGGACACGCCCGACTGAACCTCGGCGGCCCCGATACGCAGGACGCCACCCGCAACGTGCTGGCACGTGCGGGGCGCGTAGACTGAACACGCGGATCTGGTGCGCTGCGCTCACCAGCATGTGGGCCGCCGGCCACGTGCCGAGCCGGAGCGCAAGGGGGTTCCGGGCGGGCGCCTCGAACACGGTGCGCGCCGCTTTTCAGAACGGGCAGAGAAGCTTGTGGGTGCCATGACACTGGGCACTCTAACAACCCTCTCGTTGAAACAAAATAAAGATGTGTTTAGAATGTGTAAAGCATGTTCTAAACATGTTTCAAGCATGCTTTTACATATGTAAAAACACCTTGAAACATCTTTGAGACATCTGGAAATGATTTGGCAGCACGCTTCCTCTCCAGTGATCGTCCTCCACAAAGCTAAGCTTAGGTCGGGCCAGTCCTCCTACACGGGGATTTTGGACGACAAATAAAACATAGTCCAAAAGTGCCCCAAACTGGCCAAACCATGCCACAAAAAGAGTCCCCCAACTATCTTTGGACTATTTTCGAGTATGGACCCTGACGAGGGACACGCCCGCCTTACAACTAAGCTCAGGACACCTACCTCAACAGAGCCTCTGGCAGACCCGCCTCTTCCCACGGGCCGC